TTATGAAAACCAAAACAAAAATTCTCATTATGAAGAAGGCCAACCAAGTTGTTTAATGGCTTTACAAAACAAAGATTGCATCCCAATCATTTGTAATAAAAAACCTAATACCAGTCTTCACATTTTGGTAAAAATCAATTTTCCTAAAATTGATAAACATGATAAAACTGAACTTGTAATTCAAGCCCTTGTTGATACAGGAGCTTCTTTTACATGTTTATGCGAAAGCATTGTTCCTAAACAAAATATTTTCTTAAGTGAAAAAACTACCAAAACTAGAACAACGTCTGGAGATGTTATCATCAACAATAAAGAAACCAAAAATTTTTCAATCCAACTTTCTACAAATTGTGAAATTTTTGAAACAAAAATTTTTATTAAAAGCACACAGGGAGCCTCATTCAGTTACAGGTTTATATGTAGCTGTTAAGAGTTATTTCAATCAACGGTTTGCCTGTATAGAAGAATCTCCCCTTTGCAAAGAAATCAGAAACGGGAGATGCCCCTGTAAAATCAAGTTCTTGTTCACAAAAGCAAAACTTGATCTAGAACACTTTAAGCCAGTCATCTTCGAGGACTTGCTTATAAATATCAAAACATTACTGGACTATGGATGTTTAGACTCTGTTCTTATTCATCCTACTGAAAAGTTTGATGGTTTTGACCCTTCAATCAGTGAAGCTATCAACTCAATACAAGCAATTTTCATGTGCCACCTTACTGTGAAGATTGTTACTTGTCCAAGTAATTTTTCAACAAACCAGTATCCTACTCATGTAATGAAGCTACTTACTGAAGGACATAAAGAATATCCAGGAGTTCTATACCATGATGGGTATGAATCATGGGATGTTCAGGGCAATTCTCACTATCAGTATTGCCTATACAAGGCTCAAGTAATGGGATACAACTGGTTCTTCTCAACTACTGATGAGGAAGAATTCAACCTAATTAAAGAGTCGCATAACACAAAGTTGTTTCTCCCAACTAAAAATGGAAAGTTCTTTATCCCTTTTCCATTAGAAAACAACAACAAACTTGTGCAATTCTTCCAAAAGGAAAAAAGGCACAAAGAAATAAAGAAACCAAAAATTTTTCAATCCAACTTTCTACAAATTGTGAAATTTTTGAAACAAAAATTTTTATTAAAAGCACACAGGGAGCCTCATTCAGTTACAGGTTTATATGTAGCTGTTAAGAGTTATTTCAATCAACGGTTTGCCTGTATAGAAGAATCTCCCCTTTGCAAAGAAATCAGAAACGGGAGATGCCCCTGTAAAATCAAGTTCTTGTTCACAAAAGCAAAACTTGATCTAGAACACTTTAAGCCAGTCATCTTCGAGGACTTGCTTATAAATATCAAAACATTACTGGACTATGGATGTTTAGACTCTGTTCTTATTCATCCTACTGAAAAGTTTGATGGTTTTGACCCTTCAATCAGTGAAGCTATCAACTCAATACAAGCAATTTTCATGTGCCACCTTACTGTGAAGATTGTTACTTGTCCAAGTAATTTTTCAACAAACCAGTATCCTACTCATGTAATGAAGCTACTTACTGAAGGACATAAAGAATATCCAGGAGTTCTATACCATGATGGGTATGAATCATGGGATGTTCAGGGCAATTCTCACTATCAGTATTGCCTATACAAGGCTCAAGTAATGGGATACAACTGGTTCTTCTCAACTACTGATGAGGAAGAATTCAACCTAATTAAAGAGTCGCATAACACAAAGTTGTTTCTCCCAACTAAAAATGGAAAGTTCTTTATCCCTTTTCCATTAGAAAACAACAACAAACTTGTGCAATTCTTCCAAAAGGAAAAAAGGCACAAAGAAATCTAGGAAGATGGTGGATGTTTTGGACAACAAACACCCACTGATACACAGTCTATGGCCGGATCATCAGAAATATTCCAGACTCAAACGAAGAATGTTGAGAAACGTCTGAAGTCCACTATTCACAACAAGGAACATCCCATATCGTCCATATTCACAAGAAGAGTACACGAAGTCGTCAAGAATGTGATATGAAAGAAGAAAAATAGAAGAGCGCGAATCCATAAGTCAAAGTTGTATGTGTTAGGGCAAGTACATCTACTTTTCAGAAAAAGGCGACGCCTCCGCAGCTACAATGACGGAAAAAGGACAAACATACCTAGGTCATGATTGCAGTCAGAAATAAAAAGGAACAAATTATGAAAAAGACTTCACGTAACACAGATTCAGCAAGCAAGCATTTAATGCAAGATCAAACGCATTAAATGAAATAGACTTTTGTAGCCATGAACGAACGATTATCTGAACCGGGGCCCACATGTGTCTTCAAGGATGGTCCTCCATCAGTTCCTCTCAACAACCTATTAACCTAGATGATTTGTTCAACTTTGACCCTTCAGTCCAACAAGATGTTAAGCTTATTACAACTAATGGTTTTGCTTGGACTACTCTTGAGAAGGCACAACCTTTCCAACAAGCAGAATCCAAGAGTCAGAAGAACAAAAAAACTTTCAATTGCTGATTTGCCTAGGACCTGGTCAAGAGCTACAAAGTCTACTAAATTATCGTGATGCTTTTATTATGGATTACTTGGTTATAGTTGCATAATCAAAATTGACATGGCCATTTGTTTCTAACTTTGATTGTTGGTGCAGATCTCAGATTGATCATCTTGAATCTGGTCTAGTTGGTGGTTGTTGTTCCTAGTCCTATTACACTTATTTTGTAGTAATGACTTTTTCCTACTGTAGTTCCTAAGTTGGGTGGAGAATCTAGTAGTATAACCCTTGTTATGGTTGTTTTGGTCCATGTTTCTAGTTTTGATGCTTGGCATAATTTTGTTATTTGATTCTAGCAATGCATGTTGGTGTTGATCCTAGATGTCAAGTTTGTTTTAGTTGGTTACTACTAATGTTCAGCTACTACTCCTATCTTAGTTAGTTGTTGTTCTTGGTCCAATTGTCATTGTTTTTCATCAAAGGCTTTTATATATTGATTTGTTCATTTTCAATTATAAATACTTTTTCCTAAATTATACTTTTGATCCTCTATAATATTAAATAAGCAATTTGGGTGCTTTAACTTTTAATTCTACAAATTTAGTCTTTCAATTTTATAAAATATGTAATTTTTATCCCTTTGCTACATATTCATCGATTATTCGTTAAAATTGTAATGTTTGTCAAGATCTAATATTATATAGATGAACAATAATTAATGTTTAATAATATTTAAGCTAAATTGTGTTTTTAATTCTCATTTTCATCGTATTTTCATCTCATTTTACACTTTTATAAAATAAAAATAAGAACTAAAGGTTAAGTTTAGCTTAGATATTATTAAATATTAATTATCATATCATTTATATAATGTTAAGTGATGGAAACCTTAGGGAGAGGCAAGATTGATGTAGATTCTCCTTCAAGCTTTTTACACGAATTTCACTTCTTGGACTCCTCCAAGCTCCTTCAATGGCTTCCATTGATGTTAGAAGTCATTTTTAACACATAAGAGAAGATAGAATCGCCCTTAGGTGATGTCACACTCTTGAAAGGTGATAATTCTTTTCAATTTCTCACCATACTCAAGAGAAGATAAGAATAAAGGAAGAATTTTAAAGAGAGAAACAAGCTTTAAGAGAGAGAATTTTGAGAAAATTTCATCCAATTCCAGTAACACTCAAAGTGTTCAGCCAATACATGGAAAAAATAATATATAGAGTTTGGTTGTCTTATGGTACAAGCTAGATTAACCATGGTTCAATGTAATCACAGTTAGCTATCTTGTAATTAAGCTAACCAACCCTAATTAAGTATCTAGAAACTTATGGAGTAACCTAAGCTAATCCTAGTTTAGGAATAACCCAGGTTAGTTTAAGTTAACTCCAACTACCTAATTTAATCATTATAACTACCTAACTTAATCATTACAACTACCAAACTAATTATTACTTTTAAAAAGTTCTTGAGATGTCACTATCAAAAGCCATCCGACTTATTTAACAACTTAGACAACTAAATTGGCTTGGTTTGAACATTCAAACCACTTGCATGAGCAAGTGGACATCCAAACCTATGACCATAAAAAGATTTGGGTCATCCAAGCCCATTAAGCTGATCATGATGATTTTAACTGGTTACACCTCTCCTAAACTACTAATTACACCCTTAAAGAAAAATCATACAAGGACAAAAACTCCTATATTACTTGATCCAAAATACAAGATCAAAAATAACCTATACACAGTATATACAATAGAAGACTAAGCAACTACGTGAGCATATATGATAAGCAAAGGTATAAGAACAACATCCTCTCTAATATCTTCTTATTCTAGCCTCCTAAACATAAACCTTGACAAAGATCCTATGGTCTTCAAGGATGATCCTCCATTATAGACTCTAACCTTCACCCTTCTTAAACTTATTCTTCAAAGGGATTCTTGAGAAGTAGGTTTTCATCATTAAGTCAAGACAAAAATTACAATTTTAATAATGAATGGATGAACATACAACGAAGTAACCAAAATTGTGAACTTTATAAAATTAAGAGACTAAAATTGTGAAATTAAAAATAGAGAAACCAAATTTACATATTTGATATTATAAAATTACTAGAAGTACAATTTGTTCATAATGTTTTCAACAAAAACAAGAGACTAATTTTACAACCATTTCATATTCGACTAGGAAATGAACCTATATACGTTGTAGTTCAATTATTTTTCTCTTGTTAACTGCTTGGTAACATGAGCTGACATTAGACTTGTCCAAAAGGCAGAATCTAGTACCAATATAGGCCTGGCTTAGATTAAAAATATATATAATCACTTGTAGAATAATAAAATAAGGAAGAAAAAAAAAAAAAAAAAGATGAATTGCACTTCTCTTACAATCGCTCGTAGAAAAATTTATTCAATCGCGACCTAAGAATTCTTATGTGCTCTCAGTCTCTCACCACACCAGTTTCAAGAAAAAGGTATTATTATTTCTCTGCCAGATTCTCAAATCTCAATTTACAAAGATGAATCGATTCTATATACACAAACCTTAAAGAAAAGGAGAAAACGGGGCATTAATTCCGTGAGAATTTCCAATTTCTACTAATAAAGCTAAAATTTGTCAATTTTCAACATATTTTTTTTACATAAATGCTACAAGAGAAGAATTTACAATATACAATCAATCAATAAAATACATTATAAAATTTCGATAAACCTAAACCTTAGCATATTATTAATGCAAAAACATTTTAACTTATTAAGTGTGTTTGGATACAAGTTTATAACAGTTTTTGAAAAAATTTCTACTAAAAATAAAAAGTTTTTTCTAATAAAGTTCTTCTACCAATGTATCCAAACAGACTTTAAAAGAATCAATCTCGCCTTGTTGCTAATGGGACCACTTCAGCCAGAGGGGTTGAGAGAGGTGTGGGGATTGGGGATGTTCTGCAAAGGGGACAAGTTGGATTCAACCTCAACCAGGGGTCTATGCACTTGAGGTGGAACACATGCTCACAATCAGGCAAAACCCTAAGCAAATCAGAACTTTTGTAATCTCCAAGACAAATGGAACAGCTTGTTGCTGCTGTGGAATTAGATTTCCTTAGCTTGGCTTCAGAGTAGAGCATCTTGGGGTAATTCATGATTGTGGCTTCATCTAACCCTACATCAACTATTGTGTGGTGTGGCTCAAGGAATTGTGGACCACCACCAGTGCTTGATCTCCTAGGAGCTGGAGCAGTTGGCACCTGTGCCCTGGTGCAGAAGTAGGAAGTGAGCGTGATGGTTGTGATGAGCAGAAGAATCCCAATTGAGATTCCTATGCCCATGCCAAAGCCACTTATGTTGTTGGAGCCAAGGAATCCAGAGGAATCAGCTGTGTTGTTCATCTTGTTGATGATTATATGATGAAATCATGAAAGGGTGCGTGCTAGCATATTTTGAATTGAAGAGGATTAAAAGAAGTGCTTTGGATAGCCATGGTGATGGTTATTTGGGTGCTGAAAGATAATGTTAGAAAGTCAACGGATCCGTGAGAGGGAGGGGAAGAGGAAGGGGAGGGGGCTAAGAAATTAAGGGTTGCGTTTGAATCAAGGAAAGACATGATTTTCGGATTAAGTAAAGAAAATGAGGCACTGCATGTGAATACATTCCACTTTCTCAACGTTAGATTATGTTTGCATGTTCACAAGCTTGCGCAGGTCAACGATCCTTGTATGATAGAATACCAACCATTTCCATGTATCTACGATTGATTTGAGTTCACATCTTTCTTTCAAATTAATAGCTTTATATTATAATAACTTATCTGTCAGTGATCAATCCACGTTCCAAGCATTACTAGGAAAGTTGTGGATGAAGTTTCATTAGTACAAATTATTTCATTTTAATTAGTCAAGTTTATAGTATATATAATTACATTCCTATCGATTTAAATAGAGTTGTCTTTTATAAATGACATTTTAAAGTCAAGTGTCGCTTTCTCTCTCTCATGCTGCCAGATTGATTCATAATTCAATAATTGTCTTTGTTCACTTGCTTTAGGTTAAAATTAAGCCGTCACCAAACCACATTAATACTTCAATGTTTATTTATTTATTTGATAAAAATCCTTAAGTTAAGAAAAGTCAAACAGCAGTAAACAAAATTGCACATGGATCAGCCATTGTATTTTAAATTAAAAGTATTAAAAAAAAATATGTTAATAATTGGATCGGACTCTCGTAAGATAGTAAGGTGAGATGTAATGTTAGAAAAATGTATAACTATTACAGTTATGATTAGAAAATTACGAGATTAGATTTTGACATTTTTTGTAATTTATAATGTATATGCATGCATATCTATGATAATTTTAAAGGCTAATATTTTAAAAACCCTAAACTTTTAAGACAAAGTAGTGTCTTTCTTTTATTTATTTTTTTCCCCTCCCACTTGGCTAATGATTGCAGAAACAGAAACCTTTCTTAGCAAGGAGTGACAGACGTGAGTACAGGTGGAAGCTAATAGGGTGGCAGACTGGCAAATTATGCTATTGACTCTGTTAGATGAAGGATGACAACGAAAAAGAAAAAATAAAATAAAAAAATAAAAAAATAAAAAAAATAAAAATAATAGTGTACCAAATATTGTATTTTCTATTTTATATATAGTAATGAATAATCGATATCTGATTAGAGCCATAAATTAATAGAAACCCAAAAAAACCTAATTAGGGTTATGACCCCGATAATAACATTTAAAAAAAAAATCTTATACTTGCATTTAATTACTAGATATTCTTTATATATATATATATATATATATATATCACTTTTTGTATTGTACTATATACAAATCTCTTTTATAATGACATTTTTGTTATATAAAATTAATAAAACTAGTAAAATAAATCAAATAATGTATGAAAAATAAAAAGTATGGAATACTAACACAAATTTATATTAGTTTGATTACAAAACACAAAGTATATAATTGGCACAATGTTTGAAACTTGCATAAACTAGAAAAAAATTATTGAAGATTCTAGTGCAGTCAATCCTAAAAAATAGTCAATATAGAAACCTAAAATATATTTCTCAACACTAACTAATACAATGATCTATCAATATTTTGAAAATAAAAGACAAATTATTTGGAAATTAATGTGCTCCTCATCAATTTTCACATATGTTCTGAGAATTTGTTTCATTAGTGGGTACGCTTTCTTGATTAGAAACCTAAAAAATAAATATAAATCATAATTTTAAACATAAAAATTATACTATGAAAATTTGAAACATCAATATCATTTCTCAGTGCTCTCTTACTAGAATGATCATGGAAAGTATAAATGAACTATCTTTCATACACATCCAAGGAGGAAGATCGTAAAGTATGTGTACAACTAGCCAAATACAATGACTTACATTCATATGTACAAATGGATTGAACCCATCAGTAGCCAACCTGAGTCGTCTTTCATTTCGAGGGTTTAAAGTAAATTGAGAATGTTACAAGTTAAAGTTCTTCCATAATTCAGAATCTCTTGGATGTCTTAATTACATGCCATCATTTATCTTTTCTAATGCATGTCATTGCATATGTTCAACTATTTTAGAACACATAAACATTTTCTATACATGGATTCAAAGGAAAATACTTTAAATATTTTGTAAGAACCTTCCTTTTTTTCATTAGTAGTAACACCACCAATCATACTCTTCTTACTTTTTTGGCTTCCATCTAGACGAATTGCATTTCTTACAATTTTCCCTATCTTTGTTTTCCCCAAAATATTACATGTAGTCATATCGAAAAGCATCAATTTTGGTATAATGTAGCCAACCTGAGTCTCACATTTCGAGGCTCTAAAGTAAATTGAGAATGTTACAAGTTAAAGTTCTTCCATATTTCAGAATCTCTTTGATGTCTTAACATGCCATCATTTGTCTTTTCTAATGCATGTCATTGTATATATTCAACTATTTTCACTAGTGCAAAAATTGGATTTAAAATCGGAGTTTTAAGATCGGTTACAAAATAATCGATTTTAAAATTTAAGATCGGTTATAAAAGAACCGATCTTAAAAGTGGCACTTTTAAGATCGGTTACAAAATAATCGATTTTAAAATTTAAGATCGGTTATAAAAGAACCGATCTTAAAAGTGGCACTTTTAAGATCGGTTACAAAATAATCGATTTTAAAATTTAAGATCGGTTATAAAAGAACCGATCTTAAAAGTGGCACTTTTAAGATCGGTTACAAAATAATCGATTTTAAAATTTAAGATCGGTTATAAAAGAACCGATCTTAAAAGTGGCACTTTTAAGATCGGTTACAAAATAATCGATTTTAAAATTTAAGATCGGTTATAAAAGAACCGATCTTAAAAGTGGCACTTTTAAGATCGGTTACAAAATAATCGATTTTAAAATTTAAGATCGGTTATAAAAGAACCGATCTTAAAAGTGGCACTTTTAAGATCGGTTACAAAATAATCGATTTTAAAATTTAAGATCGGTTATAAAAGAACCGATCTTAAAAGTGGCACTTTTAAGATCGGTTACAAAATAATCGATTTTAAAATTTAAGATCGGTTATAAAAGAACCGATCTTAAAAGTGGCACTTTTAAGATCGGTTACAAAATAATCGATTTTAAAATTTAAGATCGGTTATAAAAGAACCGATCTTAAAAGTGGCACTTTTAAGATCGGTTACAAAATAATCGATTTTAAAATTTAAGATCGGTTATAAAAGAACCGATCTTAAAAGTGGCACTTTTAAGATCGGTTACAAAATAATCGATTTTAAAATTTAAGATCGGTTATAAAAGAACCGATCTTAAAAGTGGCACTTTTAAGATCGGTTACAAAATAATCGATTTTAAAATTTAAGATCGGTTATAAAAGAACCGATCTTAAAAGTGGCACTTTTAAGATCGGTTACAAAATAATCGATTTTAAAATTTAAGATCGGTTATAAAAGAACCGATCTTAAAAGTGGCACTTTTAAGATCGGTTACAAAATAATCGATTTTAAAATTTAAGATCGGTTATAAAAGAACCGATCTTAAAAGTGGCACTTTTAAGATCGGTTACAAAATAATCGATCTTAAAATTTAAGATCGGTTATTTTGTAACCGATCTTAAAAGTGCAACTTTTAAGATCGGTTTTTTTATAACCGATTTTAAAAGTACTACTTTTAAAATCAGTTATTTCAAAACCGATTTTGTTTGTAGTATACAAAATCGGTTCTAAAATAACCGATTTTAAAAGTATCGTCAGAAATCTTTTATATTCCCCTCCATTGTCATTCTCTTTAATCTTTCCCTAAAGCTCTCATTTTCTAAAGTCTCCAATAAGGTAAATTTCGTTGTCGTTTTCGTTTTCATTTTTGTCTTCTTCTGTTTCTTTTCGTTTTTTCATGATTTCTCGTCTCTGTGTTGTAGGTCCAGTTTGGGTTCGAAACTGGAACGACCCGTCTGCAAGGAGAATGGCCCGTTCTGCAATGAGAAAGGGCTGTTCTCCAAGGAGTACGGGCCGTTCTCCAAGGAGAACAGGCCGTTCTCTTTGGAGAACAGGCCGTGCTCCAGGGAGAACGGGTCATTCTCCAAGTTACCTTTTAGGCATTTTGATCAGACTCTGTTCCAGTTTATTTTTTTCCCACATCCGGACTTTTAAGATCGGTTATAAAACAACCGATTTTAAAAGTTGACTTTTAAAATCAGTTGTTTAACCGATTTTAAAAGTCTAACTTTTAAAATTGGCTCTTTCAAGATCGGTTAAAGAACCGATTTTAAAAGTCAAAAATAACCGATTTTAAAAGTTTTTTTTTCCACTAGTGTTTAGAAGACATTAACATTTTCCATAAACATGGCTTCAAAGGAAAATATTTTAAAACTTTTGCAAGAACTTTCCTTTTTCCCATTAGTAGTAACACCACCAATCATACTCTTCTTACTTTTTGCCTTTCATCTAGATGTATTGCATTTCGTACAAGTATCTCTATCTTTGTTTTCCCCAAAATATAACATATAGTCATATTGAAAAGCATCAATTTTTGTAAAATGTAGGTCAATCTTATTAATAATTTTCTTGACTTCATAGAATGAATGTGGGATTTTAGCATGCTCAATAGCATACTAATAACTTGTATCATCGACATTGCTTTGTCACTTACTTTGCATAACCATTCGATGTGATAAAAATTGTCAAGAAAGAAAGTTTAGAATACTTATCACATCCATCATACAAACTTTGATGCACATCTTGCATCAAATCAAAATACTCTGCAATATTATCAAGCATCTTTTGACTTGATTCTAGTATCATATGATCATCATCCTTGGCATCGTCATTCTAAACAAAATGCCCAAATGCATCATTAACCATGTCACATATGTGAAGTTAGATGAAAACACATAGAAGGGGGGTTGAATATGTGTGTGTGTGAACAAAGGAATTTTAAAAATGTTTTTGCAGGGAGACTCCTTTTCTTCCAATAAAAATAATATTTTGAATGCTTAACAGAAACTATGCAGGATTGGTTCAATGAAAGCTTTTTGCGTCTTAGAGTTTATCGTCTGCACAAGAAAAATGTTTCTTAAACGAAAGTTGTTTCTTAAGATAATAAATTAAACAACTGTATTTTTCGTCTGAAGATAGTTGTAGTGAACAATAAGCATTGGATGAAGTTTTCAGTATGA